CTCTCCTCTCCTCTTTTCTCTGTCTCTCTCCTCTCCTCTTTTCTCTGTCTCTCTCCTCTCCTCTTTTCTCTGTCTCTCTCCTCTCCTCTTTTCTCTGTCTCTCTCCTCTCCTCTTTTCTCTGTCTCTCTCCTCTCTTTTCTCTCTTTTCTCTCTCCTCTCTTTTCTCTCTCTCTTGTCTGTGTTGGAAGATATCTATGTATCTATTTATCTTTCTGTCTTTCCACCTGTCTATCCTCTGTGTTGGGAAGTTTTACTATTAGTCATATTACAGAATGGACTCCATTACCGGGCCATTCTCACATTCTGCTCATTGATGCACTTCCTTCACAATTAAATATCTGAGTTCTGATCATGTGCCCTTGATTCCCTCCTCCTGTGACAGGGTGCGGTATTGGGATCTGATGCTTCTCATCCCCAATGTCCTGTTCTTTGCCTTCTTGCTGTGGAAACTGCCGTCGGCGAGGGCCAAAATCCGCGTCACCTCCAGTCCCATCTTCACCACCTTCTACATTCTAGTAAGTCTGTTCTTGAGATCTGCGAGGTTTGAGAGTAACTGATTTCTTTGTAAGTAAGACTCATAAGTATTACTTGTAAATTCTTTGTAAAGCACAGTAGAGGCTTCTTAAAATAGGAGGTGTCTCTCTTCCTTTACAAAAACAATGTTTATTCCCCATCTAATTCTAGAATAATGGGCGGAGCCATGCAAATAATTCCTTTATGCTTCTTGACCAGCTGTACATCCAAAGATGCTGGTTTATAGCACCATTACAGCCTAATATTATAGATCCGAGGTGGGCAAACTCTGGCCCTACAGCTGTAGTTAAACTTAAAATCCCATGATGCATCTGTCTGGGAGTTGTACCTGTGGGTGTGACAATCTTGCAATGCCTCATGGGATTTGTAGTTCCACCACAGCTGGAGGATCAGAGTTTAACCACCCCTGTTATAGAGCCATTTATTTCCATTCGGCTTCCTGATTGGTCAGAATGCCAGGCAGCCTCTGAAGCCCGTGTACTTTTGTTAGAACACCAGCTTTCCAGGCAATCAGGAGGCTGCGCGACGGGTCATGATCCGCTGGCCGACTTCCTGATAATCGGGGCACAATGCACCGGCAATCGATACTGAAAAAACGATGTCGGTGCATCCCTAGTTCATACCCTTTGTGGCAATTGAGGAATTTATTTCAATAAACATTGTCATGCCCAGGGTTCAGCTTTAAATATTTTTTGGGAATTATAACAATGTGTAAACCTATAACAGGGAAATCCATGGTCAGTGTTGACATAACTTCCTGTTTATTCCTTATTTTGCAGGTGTTTGTGGTGGCTTTAGTAGGGATCACCCGAGCTATTGTGTCTATGACTGTGAGCTCCTCCAGTGTCGCCACTGTCACGGACAAGGTGAGAAGTGCTTTAGCTGGTTTGACGTGAGTTGGTAACCTGACATATTGCTTGGCACGGAAGATATTCAGGAAGATCAGTGCTTGATTACATATTTGTGAGCTAACAGTATGGTCTTCACTTCCAACCTCTGTCTTCACCTTGAAGAGTTAGGATTGGAATCTGATTGGTGCGGTTACATTATAGATATTCCAACCTTTCCTCTATAGTGAACATTTTCTGCTTCTATTATGAGAAGCACAACGGGAAAGTAGTTAGAGCTCCCCTAGTCTAAAAAAACAATCTAAAAATGCGAGCACTGTTGGTTTTTGGACCTTTTAATTATGAACAATAGGGACAAAGAAACTGAGAACTTGTTTTGCTTCAAATGTTGATCTGGGTGCCCACTTCTGTAAGCCTAGGTCATCATGGACCCTCCCCCTGCAAGTCTGTTACATCCTTGGTTCACAAGGCTAAAATCATGTTTGGAAAGGGGGAAGGCACTTCTTGAAAGGGTGGAGAGGAGACTTTTGGGGGAGGTGTGGGGGGCATTGTAAACGTCAAAAGAGCTTTAATTAGGGATATACCGATACTACTATCGGTATCGGTGTCAATACTGAGTATTCAAATGCTCCGATACTTGCCTCTGATACCAGAACTTCCGGTCAGAGGTAGATCTCCCTCTGATCGGCAATACCGAGGGAGCATGGAGCCGCCTTCCTTTCCAATCAGGAAGCCAGGCGGTACGTCATGACCCGCCTCATGGCTTCCTGATTGGCAAGGAAGCTGGCTTCACGTGTTGCTGAGCAGCCTGGCTTCCTAACCAATCAGAAAGCCATGAGGTGGGTTGTGACCCGCCTCCCGGCTTCCTGATTGGTCAGGAAGCCAGGCTGCCTAGGAACAAGTGAAGCTGGCTTTCTAGCCTATCAGGAAGCCTGGAGGCGGGTCATGACGTACCGCCTGGCTTCCTGATTGGTTAGGAAGCCAGCTCCACTTGTTGGTAGGCAGCCTGGCTTCCTAACCAATGAGAAAGCCAGGGGGCACGTCATAACTCGCGTCCCGGCTTCCTGATCGTTCAGGCAGCCTCGGCAAGTGTAGCCGGTGTTCTTTCACTAGAACACCGGCTCCACAGGCCATCAGGAACTCGGTCAACGGGTCATTATCTGCTGCCTGATTTACTGATAATTGGGGCACAAGGCACCGGTACTCGGTGTCGGTGAGTACCGAAAAAAAAAATATTGATACTGAAAAAACGGTATCGGTGCGTCCGTAGATTTATCTTTTGCTCAGTTGGTCTCTCAATAACTCTAGGGTCAAAACTGAGAGGTTCCCCTCAGGTCTGAAAGCTGCAGCCCTGTCATCTCCCTGAATTCAGGAGTGTGTATAACAACATCAGATGACATAGCCTTACATCTAAGAAGAATATAAGCGTCTGTAGACTTTATTATATACTGTTAGCCAGATTACGGAGCTGGGAGACTGCATGTGTATTTCAGCAGGAGTTAGTTAGTGAAAAGGATAGCTATTATTAGACCTCGGGGCCTTACTACTGGCTATCAGTGCCAAGTACCACTCCTCAAGTAAGTCAAGTGAAATTATGGGGCAAATATGGATCTTTCATAAATTAGTCTGCACATTAAAAATGATAAAATATGACCAATCATGAATGGTTCTGTTTGCAGTTGTTGGTACGATGGTAATGCCGTGCATTAGACTGACCCTGTGCCTTTTTTTGTGCCCTTTTAGGTTTTGTGGGAGATCACCAGGTTTTTCCTACTGGCTATTGAGCTCAGTGTCATTATACTGGGCCTGGCATTTGGTGAGTTTTTTTTTATTTTATTTTTTATTCTGTAGTGTGTTATTTCAAAGGAAATGTATACAGATAGAAGAATGCATGCAGGCTGTCATTGCTGATCTCTCCTCCTGAAACCGCTAGTTACTTAGATTCTAGTGTGAGCCAGTCCATGGGCTCCACACTGAACTCCAGCTTTTTCTTCAGCCTTGCACAGTTGTAGCGGCTCCTCATGGACTGAAATTGTTTACTCTGATTTCACTGCACACTGCGAGCTTCTTGCAATGTGCATTAGAAACTACAGCAAGTCAGAGAGAGCCCGTCTTATTTCCTGGCTGGAGGATGTTCAGCATCATTAGCTATTTCCTCCCCAGCTTGACTGTCCCTGGCCCGCCCCTTTCAATAATTGGATTTCAGTTCTTTCAATTATGGAGGCTCAGCATCACTTGTGGGCGTTACTTTGGGCAATCTGCATACAAAACCAGGCTGCTTTGGGACACCAACACCTCTAGATTGACATCCACCCATTAAGGCATTTTGATATTTGCATAACACCTCGTAAGCGCCAGCCCGCTGTTTTCATCAGTGCTGAGGGCTCTTGAGTACTGAGGCAGGGTGCTGTGATGTTTTTAGGGAGCTCTGTGCAGCACCCTGCCAGACCCTCTACATGACTCCCTGAAAACCTCACAGCACCCTGCCGAACCCTCTACATGACTCCCTGAAAACATTACAGCACCCTGCCGAACCCTGCACATGGCTCCCTGAAAACATCCCAGCACCCTGCCGAACCCTGCACATGGCTCCCTGAAAACATCCCAGCACCCTGCCGAACCCTGCACATGGCTCCCTGAAAACATCCCAGCACCCTGCCGAACCCTGCACATGGCTCCCTGAAAACATCACAGCACCCTGCTGAACTCTTCCGCTATGAAAGATTCATGTAGCAGGGGTCCCAACCACCTCACTTTCAGACTCCCGGCGGCAAAAGTCGCCGGGAGTCTTTTTAAACAGCCCCGATGCTGGCGACGTACACTGTACGTTGTCAGTCACGAAGGGGTTAAGGTTGGCCGTGCAGCACTCTACTACAGCGGGACCATCCTGGTCGACAAGCGTTTCCAGAGAGAGAGATCCAATCGAATTCCACTTACTGTAGTCAGCGGCTGCTGATTGGTTACTGTGGCCTGATGCATTTGTCTCTTTGTCTTGGCGTATAAGCCATGAAACGAGATCTTTGCCTTGTCTTTGGGAAGGCCTGTAATTTTACATTTGTTTTTTTTTTTTTCCAGGTCACCTTGAAAGTAAATCCAGTGTGAAGCGGGTCCTAGCCATCACTGCTGTGCTGTCACTCGGGTATTCCGTCACACAGGTAACATGCCATTACTATACTTATAATTATGAATGCACCACTAGCGGTACACTGCTGCCTCTGCAGGGGATGGCTGACATTGAAGAAGTTGTGATTTTCAGAAAGCAGGCTTTGGTTCAGGTTTAGCAGCTTGTTAACCTTTTGCACCCACGATCTCTCGATTTATGTTCCCGAGCATGATGCATCATCATGAGGAAACCTTAGTCTCTCATTCCATCATGAAAACCTGCGGCAGTGCCAACTCCTAGTTCAGAGGTAGCACTGTCACTGCAGATTTGAATGGCCCCTGGTCACAAAGGGTTAGAGAAACACCAAACGGCTTTGAATACATTTGCACCATATAAATATAAAAAGGAAAGACTCTGTGCTACTGCCCCGCTTCCTTCTTGGACCACACAGGTGACAGGAGGTCCTAAGCTCTCTCTTTCCTAGTGTACCATATAAGCAGCTCCCATTCCCACCTAAAGCAGCCACTCCCACTGATAGCCTGATTTCTGCTGGTTGGTGGCTCAGAGTGAAGACAGATTCTCTGAGTTACAGTGGCTCTGATATACAGAGTGGTTTTACATTTATGTAATGTATAATTTGTGAAGGAACATTGCTCATTGAGTATTCCTGAAATGGTCTATTTCTTCCGACAGGGCACCCTGGAAATCCTGTACCCCGACTCTCACCTTTCGGCACAGGACTTTAATATATACGGGCACGGCGGCAGACATTTTTGGCTGGCGAGCTCCTGCTTCTTCTTTTTGGTAAGCAAAGTAAACATAGTGATGCAGATCCGTATCGGCCTAAAGGAAAATGTGCTGCAAACGGGCGCAGACGGTAATTAGACACTTTCAAAAGAGGGGAGGGCTATGACCAGCAATGAGGGAGGGGGCTGTGCTTGGGAATTGACTAGTCAGATTTTCCAGCAAGGTCAGAGGCACGTTGCAAGTAAATCTAAAAAAAAAAATGATGGAAAAATAAAACGCTGCAAGTAAGCATTTGAACCGCTTGCTTTTCTGTGTTTTTACTTACAGTTTTTTAAAGTTGGTGACAGGGTCTCTTTTATGATGTTTCACCATGTCTTTGTTTTCTGCAGGTATACACATTAGTCTCTATACTACCGAAAACTCCCCTGAAAGATCGCATCTCTCTCCCATGTGAGTCTGTTAAATATATTGATTTTCTTGATAATGATATTTCATACATCAGTAAAGCTGACCACACATGTTGCAATCTGATTGTTACATCTCCTTTCGCTCTACCATCAACTATGTTGTGGAAGGGCCCGGCCACATTCGGTTACAAATTGTTGGCTTGTATAGGTCCATCCTCACTTTGCATAGCTGATGAATCTTATGGCGATTGTACAAACAGATGTTAAAAGACAACTATGGCCACACTTTTTTTTTTTTGGCATTAGATGTCTTTTGGGGCACAGGAGGACATTTACTAATGTCCTCCTGTGACCCAAAGTCATCATACAGCGGGCTACTGCCAACTATATGCTGACAGTGCAGAGCCGCGATGCAGCTGGGAAAGATCCCAACAATATTGTTGGGATCCACACTGCTGCCTGATTGACAGCTGGCGCTGCCTCTCTAGAACCAGAGCCAGCTGTGCCCGCTCCCTCCCCTGTCAGTCCCTCCAATGAATGCTGGACGAACGGAGAGAGGGGAGAATCCGTGTGAGGAGCAGTGACTGACGGTCACCACTCTGCAGGGAGAAGCTGAGCGATCAGCAGATTGTGATCACTCAGTTCTCTAAGCTATAGTGTCGGCGTTTGACAGCTTCAGCGTCGCACATTGGCTCTAACTATTGGGAAGAGAAGATTTTACTCTCTCAATGGTTCTCCTTGAGGTCCCGTTCACACCAGGGCGGTTTGGTCGCGCGGATTTGTCCACGCTGAACCGCCGTCATGGAAATTTCCCATACATTCCTATGGGGACCGTTCATGCGATTGCGCAATCCGAACTGCCTGCTGCCCAAAATGCTCCCTGAACCTTTTTTTCATACAGATTTGAATGGAAACGCACTGATTAGTGCGTTTTTGGGCGTTTTTTATTGCGTTTCAGAGCTGAATTGCGATTAAAAATGCCCAAATCCGCCCTTTTAAAATTTGCACGGAAACTGCGCCAAACGCATCTGCCCTGGTGTGTGGTGTCTATCATTTGTCACTTCATCCAATGTGTAAATATTCTCAGTTCATCTTGTTTTAGGCTTTATGTTTTTCTGCTTGTTGTATAAAATTGTCATTTAACAGTAATGTCTTGTGTCCCTTGTCTGTCTGCAGCTAGGAAGAGTTTCTACGTCTACGCCATAATCCTGGCCTTACTCAACTTGGTGCAGGGTATAGGCAGCGCTCTCCTGTGTGCCGCTATTAGCAATGGCCTCTGGTAAGTTCAAGTCAATCCCTATTAAAGGTCAGCTGCAGCCCAATGCTGATTCTTGAGTTTGACTCTCCTGCTGGCTTTTTATTTGTCTGCTGGGACTCCATTGCTGAGATTTCCCAATATTAAAGCAAACCTGTCCTTTACCCATGCAGGGTAAATCATAAGGTTTGTTTTAAACACTTACCTTTCCTTCACCCCCACTTCCGTTCAGTGCCGGGAGCTAAAGGAGATACTTGGATTGTTCCAGGTCCGAAGGACCATGTGATTCACCTCTATGACAGCACTGGGTCCAAACTCCTCTGTAATCTTCTACTCGGGAGATTTGTAGCCTACACAGGACTTGCTTGATCCCGGTGGCTGGATGGAGTGGGGGAACATGGAAGGAAGGTGCTGGGGAGGGTGAAAGTATGTGCTGCTGAGGGGGCATATTAGGATATGAATCTGTTGTTTGCCATTTTAATAGCATAGGTAAACTTTAAAATATGACTACGGGCTCATGTATGACGGTCTAAACAAGTACCAAAGCCAGTCTCATAAAATAAATAACTTCCTTTTAATTCTCTGACTGAGCCAAATCCTCCTTCATTTGTGTCTCACACGCTCCCCCTCCGAGACACTACAGCTAACAGTGGGAGGGTTTCAGCAACAAAGACAGTGCTGTCAATCCAGAAAGTCGTAGGTAGTGTATGTATCCTGTCCACCATCAGCAGTTATCTATCAAGGGCTCAGTCACACCAGACGCAGTGAGCTGTGTTAATCAGCATTGATTAACACAAGCTCAACGATTGTTTTCTCTGTGCCCTGTTGACATCATACATGTACTAGTGGTGTGTGTTGTGTAAAAACGCACACCAGAGGTCGTGTGTTATACCGGAACATCACTTGCTCCTGCTGGTGTGAACAGGTTCTGAGCAGGAGACGGTGACTGTGATGCTGAGAATGCCATAGTCTTTCCTTTCCCCGGTCTCTGTCTCCTGGCAGATCTCAGCAGCTATGAGAACTGTTCATGCGTGACCTATCTGCATATATTTGCAGCGTACAGATGTTTATTCTGCTGTAGGCTGGAATTTAGACTGTTATCTAACCACTGTACCTTTCTCTTGGCAGTTTGGTGGACGTCACTACATTTTTATACTTCAGCCTCTTTGCTCCGCTCATGTATGTGGCTTTCCTGAAAGGCTTCTTTGGGTAAGTTATTACAGCAGCTAAAGCTGCAGAGGGATTTACCTATTTTTTTACTTTACCAGCTTTACCGGGAGCAGTGCTGCCCTCTTGTGGATTTGCGTGCAAGTGATATATATATATATTTCCACACACTTGTTGGAGAATACTCGTCTTTTCTGCACTTCACTGCTGCTTCATTCGTCTGCAGGGCACTGAGAAAATAACAGTATTTCGTGGTATGGGGGAGCATGCAACCTTCTCCCCCTCCTCCCTGGATGGAGTGCTCAGCCCTGGGTGGTGGCCAAACCACAAGCCTTGAAAACTGTCACGTGAGGAGGGAGGATGGGCTTTAACCCTGTATAATCTCCAACACTGATTGACACAAAGCTTACACAGGGATTAGACTTGGGACCACTGCAGTCCAACAGATTGTGTTGGGGGTGGGGGGGGGGGGGGGGAGGGAATCCATTAGAGTGTACTCAAGCAACTGCTCAGCGGATTGAGCAACTAAAGTCTGCAGCACCTAGGGGCCAGCAGTTAGGAGCATACACCTCTTAGGATGCCAGGGATGTTTTTTTTCCATATTGCAAGGGCTAATGCAAGAAGGTCCAAGGCAGGGTGCTGTGATGTTTACAGGATCCTCCCACCAAACTTGATCTTACTATGGAGCAAAGGCAGCAGACAGACCCATTGATGGGGTCAGGGGAATACCTGAAAGTATTACACTTAGATATTACTTAGCATGCTTGTGCAGGGTGACTGGTCTTGTCTCCGCCCCCTCCTGTAATAAAGACTGGTCACTGCTGCTCTCTCTCCTTGTGCAGGGTGACTGGTCTTGTCTCCACCCCCTCCTGTAATAAAGACTGGTCACTGCTGCTCTCTCTCCTTGTGCAGGGTGACTGGTCTTGTCTCTGCCCCCTCCTGTAATAAAAACTGGTCACTGCTGCTCTCTCTGCTTGTGCAGGTGACTGGTCTCCTCTAGTGGGTGGGGCCTACTGGACCCCTCCTACAGCTCTGCTCTCTGCACACTTTGTGCAGCACAGTGATGACATTCAGTGCACACAATGCGTTTATATTGAGGAATATATGAAAATGAATGTTTTTGTACCCGGCGTTCAGTTTTTAATGTTTGATTTTAGGGTTTTAGCTGTTGCTGTTTGAACGGCTCTCATGTCTCTTTTCCCTTTTTTCCTTCCAGGTCGGAGCCCAAGATCCTCTTCTCCTACAAGTCTCAGGTGGACGAGCCGGACGATACGGACGTCCACCTGCCGCACCCCTACGCCGTGGCGAGGAAAGACGGCCTTGATTCGGGGTACTACAACACTCAAATCGACACGGCGGCCTACCTGGACGACGTGGCCTCCATGCCCCACATCGGGAGCATCAACAGCATAGACAGTGACCGCTGGAAAGCCATCAACGCCTAAGCGCGAGCAGCTCAGCGCAGTCACACTTTACAGAATATATCTCCAAGTCTCCTGTTTCCACGACGAGTTTCTTAAACTTCCCCCTCCAAAAAGACGGAAAAAAAAGTGCAAATTTCTATAGAAAGTTATTTTTTACTTAAAGGTGGATCTTCGAATCTCACGTGGAAATAGGACAGGAAGGAGTCTTCTTTATTGCTGCTACACCCTTTAATGTCTGAAGAAGAAAGCGTTAATGGGTATGAGGCCCAGAGGATGATGGGTCCAGACAGCTCCTATGTCGGCCCGCGGGTCTAGGCCTGCATGGCACTGATCGCATTCTACGCTGGCGTTTTACTTAATTCAGCCTCTGCCGTGGACTTGCCGCCCTCATCTTACTGCCCCGCCCCCCATTTGGCCCGGTCTACTGGTGCATGTACGGTGCTCTCGCTGTTTCCTGGTCCCAGAGCTTTAGGCACCAATAACGGCTTCGAAAACCTTGTTGTATGCCAAGGAGGGGGAAAAAAAAGTGTGCCGCGAGCAGTGACGGGAGCGCCTGGCTGTATTTTGGTAAACTCAATCAAACTTTATTGCAGAGAATAATCACCATTGACCTCAATTTTGTTTTCAGATGAAGTGATATAGATAAAGATTATGCCACAGCCCGAGAAAAGGATCATCTGTCACCCCCAAGCCCTGCGTGCCGGTTCACCCCTGGGTGACCCAGCGTTCTCTAGATCCAAGAGAAAGAAAGCAGAACCGCACAGTAAAATCGTCATGGATCAGCTGTGGTAAAACTACAAATCCCAACATGCCTCTGTTCATTTTCTATACCAGGGGTAGGCAGTCTTCGCCCCTCCAGCGGTGTTGCAGCTATCAATCCCATTAGGCATCGCAAGACTCTGACAGCTTAAAGGAGAACTAGGAGGGGGGTGCTTTTCACTCACCTCATAGTTCTAGCCGACCTGTGACAATGAGACTGTCACAGGTCGGCTCAGTGGATCGGGAGGTGAGCGAACACATACCGGCGTTCGCTCACCTATCGATCCTGTCACAGCTCTCTGCCGTGACAGGGGAGGGGCTGGATTCCCCGCTCCGATCCGCCAGCGCTGACTGGTGGAACGGACGGGGGAGGGGGCGGGTACAGCAGGCTCTGCCTCTAGATAGGCAGAGCCAGCTGTCAGTCACGCAGCTGGGCGGATCCAGGCATAATTGTCGGGATCTGCTTCAGCTGCGGCGCCTCAGTATACCGCGTGCTACAGCTCGCAGTATACTGAGCCTAGGGTGACGGGAGGACGCTAGTTTGTGTCCTCCCGTTACCCTAACTATGTGGGGAAAAGACTTAACCCCATAGTTCTCCTTTAAGGCTGAACTCCAGAGGCAGATACATGATTGGATTTGTAGTTGTACTACAGCTGGAGGGCCGGAGTTTGCCAAACAAAGTCAAACATCGGCCCTCCAGCTGTGGTGAAACTACAAATCCCATTGTGGAATTGCCTTTAGGAGTCATGCCTGGAGCTGTCAATTTTGCAATGTCTTATGGGATTTGTAGTTGCACCACAGCTGGAGGACCGGAGGTTGCCTAAAGACTGCAATAGATGAACAACACAAAGCCTCACCTGCGACCTCCTCCATTAGGCCCAACTTGGGTCAGAGATCTAAGGCGGGACATTGAGCTGTTCGTACGTTGCAATAAAGTTTTACATACAAAGGATTGTACAGTGCACCGCTGGCTTCTTTCGTTTGCATCTCCAGGTCTGGCAAGCTTGCCCAGCCTATGACAGTGCAGCGGTGGGTTGAGGTGGTCTTAGAGTTTAATACTTGCCATGTTTCTGTTTTTTCTTTTAACATTAGTCGCTCATTAAAATGTATGCCGAGCCAAAGTAAAAAAAAAAAGATCTATGTCAGAATTCCGATGAGATCCCAACTTCCTGTTTGGGCTGACAACACCGTGCCCCCTGCTGCGCTGAAACCCTAAGCAGTGTTCCCAGTCCAGTTCTCTCCTGCTGGACTACAGAGCAGTTCCCTGTCTCCTGATTTCTGTAACCTAAGCGGAAAGTGTCCTGCAAAGGAAAACAGGAACAGGGCTGACAACACTGCTTGGGATTTGAGTGCAGTAAAGGCAACGTTGTCACCTCACTACAGGAAGTCAGGAGCTCCCTGGATTTCTGGCAGATTAATAGGTATTCATCTATACTTGCAGTGACCAAAACATGGGGGAATGTGCATGTATTGCAGAGGTGGACCCAAACATAGACTTATAAGCGCATGGTAGGCTGAGTTGTTGCGGAGGTTTATAGGTTTAAGGCCTATTAGGGGAAAATCTATCTGTAAAGAAAAAGGTAAATAGTAAATGCTTATTTATTTTGTCTGTGACCCCACAGAGGAGGTTTCTCCTCACTTCCTGTCCTTGACCAGACGAGATATAAGGGGAGCGGTTTTCACTGGGGAACAGGCGGTAATTATAACCTGACCGAGGTTCTAACCCTTCCCAATTTCACTGAAAAGATGTTGCAGTGTGTCCCCTTTACTGCAGATTCCCCATCACTTCCTGATCTGTCTGGAAGTGAGGGCTGATCTTCCCACTGGAGACACAACAACAACAAAAAATCAGATGTCATCTTGCATTAGACTTGCTGAGGCTGGTTTGTGATTGGTTGAAGCGGGTGTTACCACCCATCGTTCCCCTTCCTCGCACTTTGTTATGCAGATGTCTCGCTGTGATGTTAGTAGTTCAGTATGGCTTCCGCATCCGCGTGTTAGAAACGTTGGCGTGTCTTCTAAAAATGGCAATAAGATCTCTTTGCAATACCCAATATCAGTGTGCTATCAAATGCTCCAACTCATCCAGATCTCCAACTACCTCACTTCCGGTGCTCGGGAAAACTGGTTTTCTGTACAGTTGCGGTGCGCATGCGCGGGTTGCGTTTTCACAATACTCGTTAAGTTTGCCACGTGCTGAATATTGTTACAATGCAGCTGTACAGAAGCTCCGTCAGTCTTTGTGTTTTGCATTCTAACGGCGTCTGGTCAAAATCTCCCAACTTGCAAGTACCCGGCAGTGAGGTAGTTGGAGATTTCAACAAGTTGGAGCTTTCGATAGAACACCGGCACTGCCTCACCTCATTACATCGGCGTCCTGGACCTATTTTAGTTATTTGTTTAGACTTTTTTTTTAAATGTATGTAAACCCAAAAAACGAACTTCTCTTAGTTGCTCCCGTTTGGTTTGTAGATTATACCACTGGAAGCGTTTTGTTTTATCAGCTCGGTAAATGCTAAACAAAATACTGGTTGATCCTGTCAGAAAGCCAGTACTGTTCTGTGTACTGTGTAGTGTTCTCTCCAGCACCCTTATGAGCCCTGCCCTGCCCTGTTCTCTTTGTGGACTACAGAACAGCTCTCTCTATGTTAGGGAAATTAAGGGAGGAGGAGGTGTTTGCAGTCTGGGAAAGCAGCCTAGGGGGTGACAACACTGCTGCTCCATAAATACAGTGGAGGAATCTGAGAAGCAGTCTAGGGGGCAAAAATGCTGCTTTTCTATAGATACAGGGGAGGAGTCTAGGGGGCAACAATGCTGCTACTCCATGGACACAGTGGAGGAGTCTAGGGGGCAACAACGCTGCTTCTCTATAAATACAGTGGAGGAGTCTGGGGAAGCAGTCTAGGGGGGCGACAACGCTGCTTCTCTATAACTACAGTGGAGGAGTCTGGGGAAGCAGTCTAGGGGGGCGACAACGCTGCTTCTCCATAAAGACAGCGGAGGAGTCTGGGGGGCGACAACGCTGCTTCTCCATAACTACAGTGGAAGAGTCTTGGGAAGCAGTCTAGGGGGCAACAATGCTGCTGCTCCATAAATACAGTGGAGGAATCTGAGAAGCAGCCATGGGGGCAGCATTGCTTTGCCTCCCACAGATACAGTGGAGGAGTCTGGGGAAGCAGTCTAGGGGGCAACAATGCTGCTTCTCTATAGATATAGCGGAGGAGTGAAAGTTGTCACCCTAGGGCAGGAAGTGTGCTACTGGCAGGATCACCAGGTGAGAATAAAGAGGAAAAAAGAAAACTAATGCCGTCACCACATCTAAGGACTGATAAGCTGAAATACATTACCTTTTTAATGTGGGTTTAGACACACTTTAATTAAGCTGAACTCTAGGCTGTTGTTAACTTTACCCTTGCAGGCACTGGCAGGCAGCACTCTCCCCTCCTGTCCTATGCACCAGGTTGTCAGCACACCCTCCTGGACTGCTGGTCCTGCTTTGCATGTGATGACATTAGAGAGCTGCGACCAGCCAGGCAGCCAATGTTAGCAGATTGCGCGGTCCGGTCACACAGAGGCCTGCCCCCCAGCCAAACAAGCATTGCAAATGTAAAATCAGCCAATCGTGGGGCTTTAGCATAGCACTGAGTCCGAGTTTACATGATACACCTTCATGCTGCTCCTTTGTCTCTCCCTAGGGGGCCCCATTTTAAAGGGTGATGCTTATGACCTAGAGAAGCAATCTATGGCCTGGTTTGGACGGGGGCATAACGGGGGCAAGACCAACCTTTTTCGGGTTCAGTGTGCCCAGAATAGGCAGCCATGTTTTATTTACAATCCCCACATGGTACCGTTGTCCATGGGTAACCCTTCGCACAGCCAGTCATAGTTTCCCCCCTCGTTTTATTCTTATTAGATTTCTAGTTTCTTTTAATTTTTTGTTTTTAGTGGCAGATGACGTTGTCGGGTCTTTTTGTGTTTTTGTTGTCTTTTAGCTAACGTGTGCTTTGCCCATTCACGGCATTTGCTTTAACCGTCACTATATACCTCCGGCATGTACTTACCTTCCGGTCACTTCATGGCTGCCCTGTAAAGTGCTGGAAGGCGAAGGAGATACTCATTACGTCTGGGTATGGAGGAGCATGTGACTCGCTCCATGTGACAGTGCTGGGCCAATCGGTATTGCCACTGGAGGGAGTCCATGGCCTTGTGTAAGCTCCAGTTCTTGGCTTGTATAGATGTACCGACATGTATATTTTTGCTCCAAGAGGGAGTCCTATGTAAGCCAAGAGTCACCAGAGCCGGCGCTTAAACAAGGCTGAGGCCTCCCCTGTGACGGCATCGATTGGCCCAGCGCTGTCACATGGAGGTCTGCAGTAAAGTGAACCTGTCACATGGCCTGCATTGACAAAGCACATTTTAAGATGTCTGAAAGTCTAACCTTCTTTACTGTCTTAGGCCTCTTTCACTCTGCGTCCGGCTGCGAATTCCTTCGACAAGAATGTGCAGATTTTTGCAGCAGGAATTGCGGATGAATGCGCTCAGCCTGTACAATGCAATGATGGGGTGATGGTGGCCGCAGCTGTCTACCCGTGTTATGGATATAATCATGACAGGAGTGATTTACCTGCGGTTGCAGACAGATGGTGGCCTCTGGACGCAAGCTGGGGCGACCATTTGTCTCTCACCGAAGGTAGTGGCTCCATCACACTGGATCAGCTGA